TTTCAATAAATATTTATTCATTGAATGAGTGAAGCTCAACCATCAGTGGATAGGATACTCTATTCTTCATGATTTTTTATTAAGACAGATAAGATTTGTTTATGTCAGCTTGCCAGTTCTCATCTTGCAAATGTTTTATGCATTACTACAAAACACAAAGAGGTTATATTGCTGCACATACCTTTTTAACCTATCATCCTGGAAGAAAAGGATGATATTTACAAAATATGCCTGCCAAACACAATTTATATGAGCTACCCTAGTCATTTTTCATTTGCTGCAATATTGTCCATTAGTTATATGTAACTTTACATCTGTGATAAAATTCAATGGAAAAAATAAACTTTAATCAATGTGCATTTGGCAGCTTAATTTTTTTGTTTAGATATTATGTAGATTTTGACATAACTGTATGATATTATGGAAACCTTGACTTTTTTGTGCTCAGGTTTGTTAGTATTAAGGCTATTTTTTCCATTGAACATTCCTATACTTTTGCATAGAACAATACTTGGCCTTCAAAGGGAATTATCAGAAGTGGGGATTAAATGAAAGTGAGTAGAGTGATAATAGCAAACATTTAATATAGCAATATGTACTAGGTTGGCTGACATAGCCGCGTTCACACTAGACTTTAGACTTTAGAACAGTGGTATTGAGGAAAAGTGTATGGTCTCAGGAATGGAGACAGCATCCAGTGCATTACGTGGCATTGCAAATGGGTCTACCACGCTGAATGTTAGACTCCAACCTTGGTGTAGTGTGGCTTTGAAGCTGAATTACTAGGGAAGCATCAGCCCTTCCCTGGGTGTGGTAAGAAACTGGGATTCAACAACCGAGTACCATGGCAGCAGCTTGGTTCTAGAGCTGTTCTTCCTGTCCAGCACTTAGGATTGGGAGAATATCAACACTTTCCTGGTCTATCCAACAGGCTAGGGCAGTGGTCGGCAAACTCATTAGTCAACAGAGCCAAATATCAACAGTAAAAAGTTTGAGATTTGTTTTGAGAGACAATTTTTTTAAGCTTAAACTTCTTCTAATGCCACTAATTCAAAATAGACTCGCCCAGGCAAATATTTTGTGGAAGAGCCACACTCAAGGGACCAAAGAGCCACATGTGGCTCTCGAGCGCCAGTTTTCCGACCATGGGGCTAGGGTGTGAGTCTTGTAGTGGCCACTGGTATGATTCAGCAACTCAGTGTTTGTGGTTGGAGATCCATTTAACATGGCGGCAGAGGAACCTGGTTGATTTGTTACCTCAAAACTCTACCGAGATTCGTTGCCTGAAAGCTGTTTTCTCTGAAGCTTTCCAGGAGTCTAACCTATAGGGATGAATTCCTGTAAAAATTAATCCTTAAATCTCACCTATTAATTTAACCAATCTTCCAAACCATCTTGAACTATTGCTTTTCCTAATGAGTATACTGCAGGTTTGTTGCAGAGCTAGATTCACATCCAGGGAGCTTGGCTTCAGAGGCCATGCTCATAACTACAAAATAATGCTTTAAAGCTAACTCAAAAATAAAAATAAGCCAAAACTGGTTTGGCTCAGTGGATAGAGTGTCGGCTTGCGGACTGAAAGGTCCCAGGTTCGATTCCAGTCAAGGGCATGTACCTTGGTTGCGGGCACATCCCCAGTGGGGGGGTGTGCAGGAGGCAGCTGATCGATGATTCTTTCTCATCGATGTTTCTAACTTTCTATCCATCTCTTTCTCTCTGTAAAAAATCAATAAAATATATTTATAAAATAAAATAAAAATAAAAGCAGTACAGTAAACGCTGAATCCTGGGTTGGCAAAACCTTCACAGAAGTCTAAAAATAACCATGAAGAAAAATTTAATTGGCAACTCAAAATTTGAAAATAGTGAGTACTACTTAAAGGAGTATCTTAGGTGAATATTCTAAGAATAAAGATGAGGAGGCCCTGGCTGTTATCCTCTGGCTGAAGGCCCAGGTGCAGCACCCACAGGCTGGAGACAGCTCTGATCAAGTCAGTGACTGATGAGCTGACGGCCAGTCTGAGCCTTCAGTGGGCAGCAGTCATTTTGAAGGGACCCTATGGAAGGGTCCCTTCAAAAACCTGGGTTTGCATTATAGAACGTCTTTCCCTCTCAGCTTTATGAAGGTATCTTTGTCAAATAAAAATTGTGTGTATTTAAGATATACAACTTGATATTTTACTATGCACTTTGAAATGATCACCACAGTCAAGCTAATGAACTTATCCATCACCTCATAGTTACCGTTTTCTTCCTTTTTTATTTAAAAAAAACACTTAAGCTTTACTTTCTAAGTAAATTTCAAATATACATACAGTATTGTTAATTACAGTCAACATGCTACACAATAGAACTCCAGAATATATTCATCTTGCATAACTGAAACTTAAAATATATATATATTGTTATAAGAATTACATGTGTCCCCTATTTTTTTCCAAGGACCCCGGCCCCAGGTCTCCACCATCCTATTGTCTGTGTCCAAGGGTTATGCATATATGCATACCAGTTTTTTGGTTGATCTCTTTCCCCCCACCCATCCACCCACTCCCACCTTCCCTCTGAGATTTAACAGTCTATTCCATGCCTCATTCTCTCTGGATCTGTGTTGTTCAACAGTTTATTTTGTTCATTAGACCACGTATAAGTAAGATCATATGATACTTGCCTTTCCATGATTGGCTTATTTCGCTTGGCATAATATTTTCCAGGTCCCTCCATGCTGTCTCAAAGTGTCAGAGAGCCTTCTTTTTTGGCACTGCACAGTATTCCACGGTGTAAATGTACCACAGCTTTTTTATCTATGCATCTACTAGTTGGCACTTGGGTTGTTTCCAGACGTTAGCTATGGTAAATTGTGCTGCTATAAACATAGAGGTGCACACATTCTTTTTGATTGGTGTTTCAGGTTTCTTAGGATATATCCCTAGAAGTGGGGCTGAAACTCTGTACCCTTAGACCAACATCTCCCCATTTCTCCCACACCCCAGCCCCAGACCACCATAACCTTTTAATTCTTAGTGTTGTTTACAGGATAGAATGCAAATGCATCTCTCTCCAATTCCCTTCTTTATACCCACATTGGTGCCATTGTTTAAAGGGGAAGGGGTAAAAATTGAGGGATTCAGATTCAGAGATGATCTAACCAACATATTCTGTCTGTAAAAAAGGTTTTTGAACCTCTGACTCATGGGACATGAACCAAAGCCTCTTATCCTCAGTTAAGCCTTAACTCTTCTTGAAATGGAAAACATTTGTTGACAGCCTATCTTCTTTCCTAAAATTCGTGCTTTAAGTAATATTCTGAATATGCAGATGTCTGCATTTAGTTAACACTAATTTTTTTCCCTAAATTCTTATTTGTTATGATGTAAGGAAAGTATTTCATTTTATTTTTTGTATACTTCAATTTTACTGAACACATTGGAAGGTTGTTTTAAATTTTGTTTAAATGTTCTTTGAACCAAAATATTTACAGAACAAGGAGTTCTTTTAGCCAGCAGATTGTTCCATTTGTTGTGTGTGAGTGTGGAAACATTAGGAATGACAGCATAAGATGATGCTGTAGAGCTTTTTCATAAACAACCTAATAGCATTGTCTAATGCAGCCTTTGTTTATTAAAGGTGTCAAAGACTCCTTTGCTATATTTAGGTAATCTCTAAATTTCTTTACTCAAGCATGGAAAGTACTGTTTGTTTGTGCTTGGAAGGAAAGCAATATAACCAAATAAAATAATTACACTTAACTGGAAACAATTATTAAAGGAGTCTCAATTTCAAGAAGGAAAAAATTATAATTTTGTTTTGTGTTTTTTTTTTAAGGGGATACAAAATGATTATATATTTAATACCATTTGTAAAAACACTGCACATGCATTTCATGAAGCTTTTAATTTAGTTATACATAATAGTAGAGCAAATACATTTTAATAAGAAGAAGAACAACTAAAACTTATGCTGGGTACTGTGCTTTCTATCTATATCCTATTTTCTAAGAGCTTATATTTATTAACTGTTCATAATCAAGTTTAGGAAATATATATTTACATAATAGTTTTAATAAGGAAACACTACATATTGAAGTCAACATGGGATGGCCATCACAGGCAAGAATGAGCTGTGTTTGTGATCTTCGAGTTTAAGAATATTTGTGTTGAAGAGTGAAGTTGGATGGTTAAGATTTGAATAGAATATATGTAGATCTGGAGTAGTTTAATGACAAATCCACAATTTTAGATTTAATCTAAAAGGAATTACACACACATTCATGTAATACACACACACACACACACACACACACACACATTACTAAACAGATCCCTTGTCTCATAATTAAGTTGTAATATAAATTAATTAGAATATTGAACTATATGGAATAAAAATCTTGTTAGGTAAGTGTTTGTAATATATGTACCATTTCTTCTAAATCTAGTTTGGGGCTACCACTTGTAATTATCTCTTTGCCTCTTCTTTTATCTTTTTGTCATTGCCCTAGTTCACTAGTTCAACTCTTTTCTCTTTCACATATAATAAGTTCTTATTGCTTTCCTGGCTTCTAGTCACTCCAGGTTTTGTTAAACCTGTTCTTTGTAACTATAGTAATTTAACATGCTTCCAGAATCCTCCAACAAGCTAACCAACCTTTCAATTTTATTCCAACATTCTCTGCAATACATTCTTTGTGTAAGAAAAACTGCCGACTACTTGCCTGTATGGGAATATATCCTGTGTCTTTTTAACCTATTTTTCTTATCTGAAATAATTTCCCAATATTCTTGTTTGCTAAAATAATAGTCATTATTTACAAACTAGTTCAAATGCTTTTTCTCTTGATAACTCCATAAACTTTAGCCTGAATTATTTGTTTTTACATATGGTCCTTGGCTCTATGTGTCTACAGCAAATTTGTATTCATTTATAACAAAGTTATTTATGTTCATGTTTGGTCTTTCTATCTAATTTGTAAACTCTGTTTTCCTCCTCTATTTTTTCTCTCCTAGCATGTGAAAGTCACATCTGGGCCTCTGTGTCATGCTGGCAGAGATCTCCAGCAAATCATCTTAGAGCAATGCTACAGTTTTGTTTGCGTGAATGTAAGTAGTAAATACAAATGACCGAAAGCACTTGGGGATGTTACACGTGTAATGGGGAAGAGAACCTATGTGTCTTGATCAGTAAATATTTGATTTTAAGGTTTTGACAGGTGAGTTGTGTCATTTGATATGTACTTGGAAGTTTTCTTTTGAAATAGGAGAAGAACATTTTCTAACAAGCTAATCCTCATCATCCTCATCATGAGAAGATGGTGATATTTCCTTGGACAGTATTTTCAGTTTTCTGTTTTGTACTTGGTAAAGCAGATAAGACAACACAGGTTCAAATTAATAACTAATACACATTTAATAGGTATAAATTTATGGGTGCTCTTTAAAACTGATTAAAAATTAAAAATCGAGCTTTATAAATAATTTGAGTGATTGTATAGAAGTTCTCCATGTTTTCTCCTTGAATTAACTTTTATATATTTTAAGAACTTCTTTTCACCTTTTTTTTACCTTTCTGGTCTTTCAGGTTATGACCTCTGAATTTGAAGAAACCAAGAAACTAGTGAATATGCTTAAAGAGAGTCATCTTTCCGTTTTGTATCCTGTCATTGTTATTTCAGTAAGTGAATTAATGCAGATTTTTCTCTTCAAACATATGCTTCTTTTTTTGAAATTCAATTTCTTGTCTAACACAATTCCATCAAACTGCGGAATTCCATTCAAACCCCATAGAAGAAACTCTTCCCTGTGGATTCTTGAACTTACTCTCTTACTATGAATTCTATTGACTGCATATCCTTATTTGGTTGAACCGACAGGATTGGAAAACAATGTAATTCAACCTAGCAAGGGACTAATTTCATTTCTCTTTTTTTATCAAAGTCTCATAACGTATTGCTGCATTGACTAGCTGTTTGGATAATGTAAAAGAGCTTTATTTAGCATATTATCAGGATCCCATTAGAGAAGAAATACTGAACTTAAAAAAAAAAAATGAGAGAAAAAAAAGATGAAAGAAAATTTACTCTTAGGTCGTTTCATCTCTGTTACTTGAACAGCAAAAGTAGAGTGAGCAACGGGTCAAAGAGAATTCCTAGAAGAATAGCCCTTACAATTTTTGGAGAAATCTCTCTGTGAAAGACTAAAAGAATTTACTTGGGTAGCAGAGGGGGCTATCAGAGAGCAAAAGCAAAAAGAAAGAAAACTAGTGCCTGACCCGCCACACTGGATGAGGAGCCAAATCTGGTCTGCAGCATTTTGATGTGGGAGGGGGTTCCCAACATGAAATTCTCCAAACGAGCACTTAGCAGTTGCTATGTTCCTGAAGGTTAGGCCTGTTCCATAGTGTGGAAATTTAATTCTTGTTGGTAAGATCATTAATACAGAATAAAGATCACTCGCACTATAAAGATGAAACTTTAGACTAAGCTGTGGAAGTAGAAACAAATTAGCATTTGAAGGAGGGTTAGTTCACTGCCCTGTTTGTTGTATTTGGTGATATGCCCCAAGGATAAGTTGCTTGGGTCCTGCTGATTATGGAAACCCAAGTTCCACTTGGCTGATTTTAATAGATGTTTTCATTGAAGTTTTCTAAGAACATGATGAAAATGTACCCAGTGCTGGAAGGCCCTAAGGCTCTGTAGGATAATGGTAAGTTCAGAATTCTGTGTTTGGCTCTCTTTTCTTTTCTCCACATTATAACTGGCTTAGAGATTTCATTTGGTCCATGTTCCCAGATATTATTCTGAAGAGGCAGCACAGTGCTGTGATGAGGGTAAGGCCTGGATCTCAGAATACCTCAGTTCCCTCATTAAGTTTCTTAACTTTTATGAGGCTTACTTTCTTCACGTTAGAAATGAGGCTAATAACTCTACCTCTTAAATCTTTAAGGATTAAAATGAGTGCATGCAAAGTTTAGTTGACATCACAGTACTGGGCCACTGGATGGCACACAATGTTAGTTTCATTTAATAGTCTAGCTCCTTTTATTTCCAGTTTGGATGAGATGACTCAAAGTGTACTTGCATTGCTTTAATCTGATTCCCCAGCTTCAGTCATACATATTTCAACATTCTATTAAGTACTTCCTTCGCTATCTTCTCACACCTGGCATTTCCGATCTATCTCCCATCAAGTTGACTTTCTTAGTGGCAATGCCCCTGTGGCAGGTACCCAGGTGGGTGGGAATCTGTGTCACTTCTGAAATTTTGTTCTACCCTTTTCTTCTTCCTCTCTTTATCAAACACACATGCAAAGTCAGTTTTTAAACTATTGGTTCTTCTGTTTCTTTTCTGCTGTTGTATCTCAACCTCAGTCCTTTGTATTGCTTCTGTAAATATTTGAATTCAATTTTCTGTTGGCTTCTGTTGAGTTTCATTTTATGTATCCCAGTAAATGCAAGAATTTGTGTGACTACCTGGTGTTCTGTATCAAACTAAGGGGAAAGATGGACAATCCTCTATTTACAAAGGAAAATTCTTTCAGAACTAGTGTGAATATAAGTCTATATACTGTAAATCTACATACTATAAACACTATAAAAGATTTACTTTAAATTGGACAGTTGTTACTCCAATTATTATAATTAATATTTATACACTGTTACTTTCTTATTGCATAGGTAGACTCAGTGTGCTGATATTAAGGTTATTATTAAAATCAACAGGAAAATGTCACTGGAACATATCTAAAATCTATATCCTTAGGATGGAGCAAATCACTGGGAAAGTAGAGTAAAGAATGAACATTTACCATAGTTAGATTTCACTTCAGTTTATGCATGGGTTTTGTTTGTTACAATGTCAAATTCTCTCTGGCTTTCATGGACATGAAATGGGTTAGGAAACAGTAAGTATAGAAGGTTTTTCATATCTAAGATGAACTGGTATAGGTAGAGGCTACTGCTTTAAGAACTACTTAAAGAAAGGAACAAAACTTTATTTGAAGAGTAGAAAAAAACAGTTGGGACTTTATCCTAAAAGAACTAATATATTTATTTAAATTTTCCTATTTTATCTTCTATTAAAGAAAATTAGGTTATGTTTGCAAAAATAATTTTTTTTTGCATAATCTTATAGACATTATATGATAATGTGATTTTCTTCAAGTGATCATTTCTGAAAAATATTTTGGACATATTTAGTTATATAAACATTTCCTTTATTAATACTTGGATGTTCAACATGCTCTTTTGGACTTCTGTTCTTATTTTCTTTTTATATATTTTAAGTTGTGTAATTTTGCCAAGTTCTCATTTGTTGATGGTGTTGACTATGATTGAAGGAATTTACCAATATTAGTTTGATCAACTTAATGACATCCTATGTCGTGGTAGATGTAACTTAATTTCATTGTAATTATATTGAATTATCAGAATTTTCTGAATTTCTGCAATCAGCTCGAGACTGACTGACAGGACTGTTGACGATTTTGTCTAAAATCCATGCCAGCATTAAAGTGGGCAGACATAGTTTGATGGGGTCACTTTATAAGTGCTGTTTCTCAGAGAATCTGTGATTGTCTATTTTGTATCCTATGCAGCCTTTTAATTTTAGGCCTTGGGAAATACATCCTCAGAAAACAAGCAACCTTGTAATTTGTGACTGATTGGCATAAAGATATTTTAAAAATTCAGAATCCTTTCTATGTCTTTTAACAAGAACACCTTATAAACATTGAAAAACAATACTTTCTTTTGTACAGTTAAATAGCGCAGCAGTTATGTTTGAGAGAACTGCTCAGATGTGATTTCCGAAGCTGTTGAGTCTGTCCTATTAATTTATCATGGAACCAAAGTTTTTATCCTGAGTTAACTGAAGTTACTCTTAGCCTTCTCTTCTTTGTGGTTACTAGGGGGTATATAGTACTGCTAACACCTTTCAGTTGGCAAGTCTCAAGGGAATTATCTGGAAGCTCTTTTTGAAATCACCTGCTACAATAGCCATCAACCTGGGACATGCTCAGTTTTCTATTTTCTACTCCTATCATGTGTTTTGTTTACTAATTAAATAATGATGAACAGATATTTAGAAAAATAATATATTGAATGTATCAACATAGTATAAGGTAATTTCATAAAATTTCTGATATCAAAGTTACTCCAAAGAACATAGGCTTTTGTCTAAATTAAACAAAACTCAAAAGTGCCAAGAGTGAATTATAGGCTCAGTTCTTGGCTTAGAATGATCTGTTATTTTGTGTGTGACAATGGATAATAAGAGAGTTTCAGGAGACAAAACTAACTACAACTGTTTTCTAGTCAAGTTTATGAAGATACCTCCACAAGTTTAGAAAGTAAAATAGGGATTCTAATTTATTAGGATCTTGTAGGATTTTTACAAAATATCCCTTGGTACAACTGTCAGATGAGATAAGGAACAGTATATTGTTATTTAAAGCTATTTTTCTCTCATTAAACATAGCCCAAAGTAATTGACAACAAATCTAAATAGAAGTTCAACATTGAAGCAAACGCTTTAATTTTACTTCATAAAGTAGTTTACCACTCTTCTACAGCAAAATGATTTTACAGTAACTACCGTATTTTTCGGACCATAAGACGCACTTTTTTCCCCCCAGAAGTGGGGGGGAAAAGTCCCTGCGTCTTATGGTCCAAATATAGCCTACACATATACTTTTAAAAAAAAGTTTTTTTACTTGCCCGGCTCTGTGTGGTCTCTGTGTGCTTGCCCGGCTCTAAAATGGTTCTAAATGCTGCTGTTTACTTTACAGGGTTGATTACATGTGTTTATGACTGTGATGTTGGGTTTTAATGCACATAAAATATTTTAGGACACTATTTGTTTCAGAATCTTTTTTTCTTCATTTCCCTTCTCTAAAAACTGGTGCGTCTTATGGTCCGGAGCGTCTTATGGTCCGAAAAATACGGTATTTGAACAGTTATACAAGAGTTCTTTCCTTTGACAATTTAGACAACTTTATTGGGGCTTTATGAGAGATAAGAATCTTTTCATGAATTCACTTCAGAAAACATAAATTATCATATGGGATTATAATCTTTGAAAAACTTAAATAAACCTTCAAAAGTGCCTAATTTAGTTCTAGTTACTGGAAAATAGTTTATTGACATAACAGATCAGAATATATGATATTTAAAATATTTCAAAATATATCTATTTCAACATGTCAGCAAATAAAAACAATAGGAAATAGAAAACCATCATCTATTGACACTTGATACTTTTCACATCTGGGGTAACTGTCACAGAGATGTAAATTGTTTCCAGAAGGTTCTACAACTCACCAATGGCAAAGCCAGGAACAGAATCAATCCAATATGCAGTGTATCAAATGCACTTGTTACTTTTATGTGTTAAATAATAAGATGGAACAAGATTAAAAATATACATATACACACATATATGTATTTAATATTTCTCCCTAATAAAGAACAAATGACAATTGAAAAAACATATACATTCCTTCTTTTAAGTGCTAACGAGTTCTTACTTTAGCTTCACAGGGTATTGAGCCTTATTGAATTTAATTTTTAAACCATGTGATATGGACATGTATCTTTGTAAACTTTTACTTAACTCTTTGTTATGAATGTGTCCTCCTGTTAACCCTATTACCACTAGGCTAAGAAAACGTGTTATT